CTTCTAAGAAATAGCACTACTTGGTCGTGATTCCAAGCTTTCCAATCGAGTTTTTAAGGAACAGTTCACGCTTTGGCGAGGGTTTTTAGTGCCCATCCTACCTACTCTTACCAGAAGAAAGACTTAGTGCTAAAAGGTATAGTCACCTTTCAATAATTGTCTAAAAGGAAAATTGGTGACGTTGGACCAGGTTTTACACAATATACTGTTCTGATGACACAGGGTTGGTGCCATTGGTCCACTTTCTATTGTAAATTCTGTCAAGAGAGTAGAGTTTGGAGGCATGCACCTAGTCTTGAGAAATGCAAAAGCTGAATTCATACTGTTGATGATCTCTCAGACCCCAGTTGCCCATGTGCAGTTCTGATGGTGATAGTATGGTGGTGATTATGGGGTGGGGTCATTCCTGTGAACACAGTCACTTCTGGAGCCACTCAGGGGCTGGGCAAAGTCAACAAGAGGTGGGTTATAGCAGTGATCTCCAACCATTTTAGCACCAGGGACTGGTGTTCCTATGATAATCTAATGCCCGATGATCTGAGATGGAGCTGAGGCGGTGAGTGATGCTAGCGCTGGGGAGCGGCTATAAATACAGATGAAGCTTCGCTCTGCTCACCTGCTGTATGGTCTGTTCCTAACAAGCCACGGACTATGCCGATATGCGGCCCCGGGGTTGGGGACCCCTACTCTACAGTGTCTTGTTTCTGTCCTTTTTTCTACAACCTGATTCAAATTTCCTGCCCTTGTCATGTTTTCTCTCCCACTTCTAGACATGTTTGTATTGTGTATAAATCTGTTTTCTAATATTTACTTAGCGTTCTGTATTAAATTAGTGCTAGTGATTTTCTTTTTCAATTATTTTTTGCTGCATATGAAATGCCAAATCAACTTCTGCCATGTATTAGCAGGTGAGCCCTGACAGCTGGTGTCAGTGATTCTCTGAGTGGCTCATGATGGTAATTGCTGAATCCTGATGGGTTGGATTTCCTTGAGGTTCTCTCAATCCTAACCCTGGACACTGAGAATACACTGGGAATAATTGCACAGGCAGTGAGGTGTAATGTGAGTCTTTATCTTTTATACATTTAAATGATAGTTTTATTGATTCTAGTGAAGACTGACAGTGTGTAGTTCAACAAATTCAGCTGATGAAATACTCCAAGATGCCATGTTTCCTTTTCATAAATAGCTGAAAATAAGGAGAATTTTATACTGTATGCTTAACACAAGGTTCACTTTTCGGGAGAAGCAGGAACACGCTAATGAGAAACAGAAACAGGGTGATCGGTTCACATTTTTTTGTTAGGCTGGGATGCCATGGTGCTGACATTCTATGGCTTAGCAACACCCTGGCCTTTGGGAGGCCCTGGATAATTGCCAAAATCACCTAATAGTGGAGCTGTTTTGTCGGCTAGTTCTTTCTGAAATTAATGGTATAGACTGAAGCGATCCATGCTCAGTGTTAAGAAATCAGGAAAATAGAGAAAACTATAAAGAAAAATACAAAAATTCAAGTAGACTGAGATTGTTGGGAAGAAAGGATTTAAGGGCACACACACTTCAAATTTTAACAAAATTAGGATCATTCACTGCTTATTTTTTGGTCCTAATTTTTTGCTTTCTATTTCATTATGAGCATTTTCCTATGACATTTTTCAAAAGCACAAATTTTAATAGCTATGCAACATTTCACTTGTAGTGAAAAACACTGCTTTAACTATTCTCTTGCTGCAAAAACATTGATATTTCCTTTAATTTCTTACTATTTCTATTTGTTTTGCTTTTATAAATAGCACTGTAATAGCATACTTAAATCTAAAATCATCTCTATAATAAATTCCTAGATATGGAATGATTGGGATAAAATATATGATTGCTTTTCAAGATTGCAATACATATTGTCAAATTGTTTTTCATAAAAACTGTAACATAAGTTTAATCGGCAATTTTCTTTTCTTTTTTTTTTTGTGTGTCAAAATGAAAGTTTATTAGAAAAGGGATAACACTCCAGACAGTGTGGTCTCCTCTCAGAGGCAGAGAGTGAGAAAGACCTGTGGCAATTTTCAATATTTCAGAAAGCCTAAAGAAAATCATAAATTCATAACAACTAAGTCATTTTTCCTTTAGACTGAATTTATATAAACTCTGTAGGGTAATAACAGCACCTACCCCATAGTAGGTGCTTGCATTAGCCAAAGTTATCTAGAGAAACAGAACCAATAGGATATGTACATGTATGTTTATGTACATATGTTGTACGTGTATATATAGATTGATTGATTGACTGATTTTAAGGAATTGGCTCATGCAGTTATTGAGGCTGAGAAGCCCCAAGAGCTCCAGTACAAAGGTATAAATTCCATGTCGAGTCTGAAGGCCCAAGAAGACCCATGTCCCAGACCAAAAGCTGTCAGGCTGAGAGAATGAATTCTCTCTTGCTCAGGCTTTTGTTCTATTGAGGACTTAAAATGGACTGGATGAGGCCCACACACACGGGGAGGAGAATTTGCTTTACTCAGTCTGTGGATTAAAATGTTAATCTCATCCAGAAATACCCTCATGGACATACTCACAATAATGTTTAACCCAACATCTGGGCACCCCATGGCAAGTCAAGTTGATACATAAAATTAACCATCACAGTGCTCAATAGCTTG